TCACATATCTAGCCGGAAGTTAGACATTCTCCGGGGATAAGTCTCGTCTCACATCATAAACAGTGGATCACCAGAAACTCGGATCACGGCACGACACGACAGAAAATCGGTGCGGGTTGCGATTCATCGTCCTCCATCTCAAGCTCGCTTAGCTCAGTCGGTTAGAGCGACGTGCTAATAACGCGTAGGTCACAGGTTCGACCCCTGTAGTGAGCATATTTTTCTCGCTTGGCGGATTTTTTTTGCTCGGGCATCATTTTATCACACTACTTGCTGCCTTTCACAGACGTCTGGCCTCATATGGGTGTTTTGTGCCGATGGATCATGAACACAGACGTCACCACCAATGCTATAGACGAATAGCTAGGGAGCTGTGGTTTACACTAACGTGTGGAGTGGTGTGCATCCTGGGCAAATCAGCAAATATACAGACATAATGTCTACTGTGTGAATGGGTAGAGGAACCGGTATAAGAGGCGCAACTTGATCTGGTCTTCAAGCTTTTGTATGACAGTATCCCATATAGGAATCTTGGTTCTCTATCCCTCTCTTAAGCATACCAAAGCATACATAGAACGGGAATCTAGCATCGCAGCCACAAGCCATCGACTATGTGGCAAAGCAGAGATTGCCAAAAATACTTTTGCTTTAGTTAACTAGATGTGAAAATTCTGAGGGTCATGTGACCGAGAATAGCTCAGCTGGCAGAGCGGGAGACTGTAGTGTTCGTCAAAGTAGTTGGGCTGCGATTGTCATCTCTAGGTCCCTGGTTCAATTCCGGGTTCTCGGATGTTTTTTGCGTTTTTTTCCTTCTCATGGAGAGCTACTCTGAAAAGTATGCGTCAAGAATTGCCTGGGCGTGCTGGACGGTGGTGTCGAAATCGACAGAGCTGTCAGGCGCCGCAGTGTACGAGATGCTCGGCGAGCTGTCGCTACTGGGGGCAGAGAGGCTCCGTGTCTCAAAAAAGACAGAAAGCAGGACAGCAGCACCGTCGCATTTGCTGCACACTGTTTCCATTGCTTCGGCAAGGAGCTCCCTTTTGTCAGCTAGCGCTCCATCTGCCCATGCGTAGATAATACACTGGCCCCTGGGCACAGCCATCGTCGACTGGGTCAAATAGAGGAGCGACACGACACCGGTTTTGCCAATGTAGCTCAGCAGTGCAGTGGTGTCCTCGCCCAAAACAGGCTTGTCAACAACGCAGAATGACCGCGAGACTGGCGTGGCGCCATTGGATGGCTGGGCATCGGGGGCATAGGTGGTGTTCATAATGATATGCTTGGCTGACACCTCGCCATGCGACAGCTCCATGCTGTACTTGTCTTCCGAGCGCTGTATCGATCTAACGCTCTCACCAAGAATATACGTTCCACCCGAGACAGCGCACAGGCGGCTGAACGACTGTGCGAGCTCCGACCCACCGCCATACATCGAGCACAGATATGCCATACGCCCATAGCGGCCAATCGATCTAGTGTACCTCTGGATCCTCTCGCATCCTTCGCGGACACTCAGCTCGCTTTCGCTTTTGGCTCGAGCAACGCAATAGAGCACGGCATCAAGCAGCGCGCCATCAAGCCTGAACCTTGACTGAAGGAACGAACGGAAATCGTCGTCAGCGTTATCGGCCACAAATTGGGCGCACTCCTCATCGTCGCTCATACTCGTTAAAAGCTTCATTAGCTTGCGCTTGTCAATGAGCTTGAGCGACTTGCTTGCAAAGACCTCCTCTTTCGATTCAGGAACTCGCTCAATTTGTCCATCACGCACCAAATAGTTGTGCTCCACGCCCTTAAACTCGACGTATTCGCCGATACCGACGTCAATGAGCAGGTCGATAAGGGTTCCTCGACAAAATGCCAGCTTTGGTGCCAGCTCGATAGAGTACTTTCGATCCATGTCTGCCAAGCTAGAAAGTGTTTCCAAAACACCCGGAATTGCAGCATCATCGTTGTCGTCCAATACCATGTATGGGGAGATTCTCAAAAGAAGCTCAACAGCCCGCTTGTGCCGTTTGTCGTTCTCTGACGCCGAAGATATTCTGCCACCCAAATCCTGTTTACGCGATTCTGCAGTATCCTTGTCTACCTGCTCACCAACCAAGAAACGGAGCCTAGAATCGCCACTTCCGACAGTGATGTCTACTAGCGGGACCTGTCGAGAGTCACGATGGGCCATAGCCCATTCAAGAAATGCAGAGAGCGAGAAGCAGGAAAAGTCGCCACCATAGTATGGATTCTTGTCAATGTGCAGCACCTTTTTGCCTGCAGCTGCAATATCGCTTGCGACGATCGACTCGATGAGACCGGTTCCCAGAACGACCACATCAAACTCCTCGTTGTCCAGCATATGCTCCGCCATTGCTGCTATCTGCTACGAGATGGTAGGCTTTTAATTGAAGATAGAGAGAAAGGGGGGAAAATGGTAGAGTGCAGTGATTCCACCCGCCCAAGTTTCAAATTTTATTGAGGATGCATGTGCGTGACATGTTATGGCCGAGATCATCGTGTGGCGATGTGATTGCTAATAAGCACAGCAATTAGCTGGGTTGCATATACTCTAAGCGAAGGGGAAGGGGAAATATCTGACATGTAATGAAATAGCAAAGTTGTTACAAAAATAAGAGGGTGAGGCAAATGTCGGGTGTTTAAACAAGCTGGCGTCTAGTGTATGCCATGCTGGGTTCGTGAATCATGGGTTCGGAGTCATTCATATAGCGAGTGAAGTAAGGCAAATTCGTCGAGTCCACGTCCATCTTTTCATCAAACCTGCCCCAACTCTGGTTGCCAGCAGTGCTGGTCAGACTTGTGCTTACGTGGTCCATCTCCTGGCCATTGGCAATCTCGTACTCTTCCTCGAGGTTCTCGCGCTTCAGCTTGCGCAGAAAATACTTGAGGTACTCATCGCGGTCAACAGCACAATGGTACACGGGCTTTGTAACTAGGGCGTAGAAGCTGACTTGGCCGACTATAAAGTCGGTGATAGTGACAAGGGTGTTGTACGTAAACACATTGCCGCCGATGTCGGGGATCCAGCGGAACGTGACTTGGACCACACAGACAGTGAGGGTGACAAAGACCATCGGCAAGAGCTCACGGAACTCGTTGAAGCAGGCGTTCAGGTGGCGGGCAGCAAAAGTGGCGTAGCCACAAACCAGGGCAAGGACGATAAGTGCAGCAACGGCAATGAAATAGATAGGCTTGCTTGCGCGACAAATCATGGTATCTTCAACATACTCAATGCCCGACGACGGTGGCAGTGCAGAGGCCAGGACTCCGTATGCTAATGGGACCAGTGCCCACAATGCGAGCGGCACCCACAAATGTCTTCCTGTAGCCCGGATTCTCCACTGGAATATGCAGATGTATTCGTAGATGCGGAACGTGTAGCAGCATACCACGCAGTACATGCCCAAACTCATACGCAGCCAAGAGATGGTGGCGATGCATATTGGCCGTGTTGCATGTACAAGAGACGGGTGGTCAACATAGACGTCGCCAATGAACCAGATCGATATGGCTAAAGGCAAATAGATACATGCATTGCTTTCGGTACCAGATTAGCGGGTGGAGGTTTATATCTTCACTGCACGATTTAAAGCACCACAAAAGCAGCCAATCTACATGATTGTGTATGCCCAGAGTACTTACAGGCAAACAAGACATTGATCAACGGAATGTTTTTGCATTTGAGCGGTGTGTATGTGCGGTTCAGGTTGATGTATACGAGAACCAAGAAGGAAGCAAAGAGCATCCCTGAGCAAGCGCCGACCACGGCAATGTCTCGCTTATCGGAAACTTTTTCCATACTGTACAGTATTAAAATATTAGAAACTAGCTGGTGTATTCAGAATAAGGGGTATAGAACGGGTATACGGCAAGCCGTTTCTATGTAGCAAAACGAAAAGGAGTAAAGTGGAGAAACTTGATTTTTGCAATGGAAAAAGCAGGCGAAATGCCAGCAGAGCTGAGATTGCGTTCTGTCTTATACAAGTCGCTCTACTTCCGTCTTTTGCAGCTTGGTCTCATCTCCTGGGGTGGGAAAACTGCACTATGAACGCGTGCTTGATAGCGAAGAGGAGTGGGTGTATTGCAATAAAGACAATAGGGCGCCGCTTGCGAAAGGCAATAATCACAATAGAGAATTGGCGTGCATGCCGAAAATCCTTGACAGAGCACGCTGGTCCTTGGACAATAGATTCAAGGCGGAGGGATTGGAGGCGTGATGTCTCCTTGCAGCCTATTGCAGATGGTGCAATGCAAAAGCAGGACACGTCCTGTATGCTTCATCTGGCCAGGAAGTGCTGCCCTATCAGACAGCCTACACTCGCCACTTGCCGCGTAGGTGCGCCACCTGTGATGCAGTACTGCTGGCACCTCTCCCTACTTTTTGCAGACAGCTGCTGCTGCAGTTTAGCAGAAAGACCACGGCTACAATAGCCTGTGCACCGCATGTTCGCGTGCATATCTGAGGTGCTGGTGCATCCACAGCCAATTGAATGGAAGGCCAGGTATGCTATCAGGATTGCTATTGTAATTACATAGTTCAGGAGAAGGCAAAGCCAGTGCACATACCAAACGAACCAATCAACAATAGCGTCAAACCACCTCTTCGGCAAGCTCAAAATCATCAATCTCATTGAAGTATTTGGCAACTGCAGGGTCGACAGTCCACGGACTCGTCTGTAATGCGCTGGGTGCCGCCTGTGCCGGCTTCTTTCCATACGCCCGAGCCCTGGTGGTCTTTCCCCTAGCAGCCTTTGGTTTAGCCGTTGCCGCCTTGGGTCCACGCCCTTTGCCTGCCTTCGATTTGGCGCCATTGCTCGGCTTCCACACATCTGCTGCGCCATCTGACCCACCCTCGCTGTCGTCGCTTTCTGTGTCACTTGACTTTGCAACCACACGGGTTCGCCGTTTGCTACTACCAGATGAGGGTTGGGGCTTTGTAGCTGACTTTGCTGCATGGCTGCTGCCAGTTTTGCTGCGTCGAGGCAGCTGCGCGCTTGCATCGTTTCCCCCAGGCCAGTTTTCTGCATCCAGCTCACCAGTGGCCACCATGCTTTCCCTAGTCGGGCGGTGCCTGCCATTGGCTTTGGTGCTGCCGCCATGCTGGTTGGCGGTGGCAACCAGTTTGTCGATATCAAACAAGTCGCTATCGCTGTCCTCCGATCCGCTAGGTCTTTCTGGCTGCTGTCCGTCCCTGACTTCTGGCTTGCTACCGGCAGGATCATTTGGATCTTCAGCCTCTAAAGCGTCGTCATCTTCCGCCTCTTCCTCAGGGGCAACGGTGGAAGCACTAGTGTTATCAGCGGCATCCAGGCTGTTACCATCAACGCTAGGTTCCGCCAGGCCATCCCTTTTCGCACCAAGAGCCAGTGACAAAATATCCGCGTCACCCAGAAGGCTCTCGTCATCCAGGTCCTCCACAGGACCATCCTTCTTAATAGGCGAAAAGCCATCGATCAGGTCGTCAAACACCAGCTCGCTTCCACCGGACAGGCGTCGTGGGTTTTGGGAAGCCGACAGACGGTGTGACATGCCGCTACGACGTCCATACGCGGGCGATGATTTTGGTGTACCCTTAGGTGACTCGATGCTGGGTCGCTTGGGCGGCGAGCCCTCAGACAGGTCTGCGAGTGCGGTGCGTTTGCTTTTTGGTGTAGCTGTCTGATTGGCCGTGCGAGTGCGTAGCTGGCGCTCTGACGTGTGTTTGGTGCTGGTGGAGGCGTTCTCCTTGTCTTTTTTGCTTTGTGCTGGCTTGGCTGCTGCTGCTGCTGCAGGCTTCTTGGC